CTTGATATCATTACCTTTGTTCATGTTTCTCTTTTGTCCTGAAATTTGTTTTGTTTGCGTATTTGTTTGTTTGTTTGTTTTCTTAAGAGAGATTTATGCTATAGTATGCATGTGCTTACCAGAGAGACAAAAAGCGAGAAATCACCCCACAGGGGATGATTTAGCCATAATCCCTTCTTCTTTCTCCTCCTGGGATTGGGGCAAGAATACATATGCATCTTGTGTGAATTTTAAGCCTCCAAGTCTGGGACTCACACACACCATAGTCAACTACGTGGGAGTCCACTGATGAAACCATTACGCCATCTGCTGGTCCCTCTGGAATTCTTCTATTTCTCTTTCTACCTATCCAAATTGTATCTATACCTTAAGTACCAACTTAAACTCATTCCTTTTCTCTATGCTTCTCTGACTTCCCACTGGTTTCTGATCTTTCTTCTCAATTTTTCTTGCATTGTTAAAGTTTTTGTTCTTTTTAATATTTTTCATTTAAGAGAGACTTTTGCTATGGGGTGCGTGTGCACACTGGAGAAAAAGAAAGAGGCAGAGAGACAGAAAGCAAAAAAATCACTCTTAGGGGAATAGCCATGCCGCAATCCCTTCTCCATTCTCCTCAGCATCGTGGGCATGCATGCATGAGTATTTAAGTCACCGGGTCTGGAACTTGAACTGCTGTCAACTATGTGGGAATCTAGTGACGTAATCATTATACCATCTGCTGGTCTCAAAGTTTTATTCCATTTTCTGTGGTTCATATGTGTTAGTTTTATATCCCCAGCTGCAGCAGGACAAAGCCAAATCTATGCTGCTTTTTTTTTTTTTTAATAGCTTTTTTGCTATAGGGCATGTGTGCTTGACAGAGAGGTGGACAGTCATAGAGACAGAAAGCAGGAAATCACCCTCGGGGTGGGGGGGATGGCCATGATGCAGTCCCTTCTCTTCCATTGTCCTCTTGGGATTTGGGGCCTACACACACATACTGCTGGCATGAGTTTCAAGTCTCTGGATCCGGGACTCAGACTGTGGTTGGCCGTCTGGGAGTCTTAAGACTTAACTGTTCTGCCTTCTGCTCGTTCCTCTGCTGTTTCTTTAAAGCCCCACAGGCACAGCACAGCAAACAGAAGATTCTGAGTAAGTCCTTATTGGCATACAGCGATGTTCTCAGATTAGTTCTGATCTTCAAAAATTTCAGTTAAAATTTAATTCATTTGCCACATGTGTTTTCTTATATTTTACTTTACATTAATTCAAAGGCAAATTTAAGTCTAAATTGTTACAGTTAAATACTAGAGTGCTTTATATGTTTCATGTTAAAAAGTTGATTAATTCCATTTTTATCATCCTATTAGAATCAGCTGCCTTAATATTTAAATTCTGTGAGTAAATGTGAAAAATAATGACATCTTATAGGACTCCCGACTTTCTAACCTATTCTGTCCAGTAACTTCTTTTGAGAATATTAAGCAAAATATGTGACATATTGGAAATTACCTAAGTAACCTTTTCATAATTAAATGTCAGCAACATGGATTAAAAGTTTAGTGGCAAATTGAACCAGCTTTATTGAAACAGACTTAGATAGTTTTGGTATTTTTCTATATCAGATGATTGCTATGCTTTAAATATAGTGAAACAGTTTTGTATTCAGTTTGAGTTTAGGTGAAGAAATTAATTGCAGTAACAATCTTTTTTATTAACCTTATAATAGTCTGTTTTTGCTAACATTTATATAATGTATATCATCTAAAAGCTTAATTTATTTTTCTTGCTTATTAGTAATTTGGGTTGAATTAATTCTTCAGTTATTTTCAATTATTTTATAGAAAAAATATGTATAGTTTACTCTGGGCGTAATTAGTTTTTTCTAGTCTTACGGTCTTTACTATTTTAATTCTAATGGTCTCTATCTGCATTAGATAAATTTTTTTGTGTGCGTAAAGCTAATCATTGCCTTCCTTTTTTTTTTTAACTATCTCAGGTTTGGATGAGACATTTTTAAAGGGATGATTTTGATTAGGAATGACAGATTTTATTCATGGTATTTAGTATTAACATTTGTTCAGTTTTTAAAATATTCCTTTGAAACAGATCACTTCATTTTGGAGTTGGTTTCTGTTTTAGTTTAGATTTTTTTCTTAATCATTAAGCAACAGAAACTATTCTGATTATCTTAGACAAAAAATAATTTGAAGAGTACTGAATGATTCTCAGATTTGAATTAAAAACTAGCTGATGGGACCAGCAGTTAGTGTAATGGCTATATCGCTGAACTCCCATGTAGTTGACCGCGATTCGAGTCCTGGACCTGGTGGCTTAAAACTGACGCCGGGCGTATGTGCATGTGTGCCCAAGATCCCGAGAGGAGAAGGGATTGTGGCGTGGTCATCCCCCTGGGCAGTGATTTCTTGCTTTCTGTCTTTCCGTCTGTCTGGCAAGCACACGCGTCCTGTTGCAGAAACCTCCCCCCCCCAAAAAAAAAAGAAACTAGCTGGGGGCCAGTTGGTGGTGTGGTAGTTAAGGCAGTTGGAACCCATGTTATTGACTGTGCAGTTTGAATCCTAGACCCAGCAGCTTGTGTGCTTGTGTGCCCAGAATCCCAACAAGAGGAAGAAATGGAAGAGAAGAGATTGTAGCATGACCAAACTCATATGGATGCTTTCTCACCCTCCCCACAACTACCAGAGGCGCATGCATCCTCTGGCAAAAAATTGAAATAAAAACAAAAACTCTAACCAACCTTTGGAAACAATAGAAACTAAGGAGTTTGGGAGTATTCAGAGGCATGAATTACTAGACATTCTGTTTGTTTTTTGCTTTTGTTTTTTAAAGATTTTTGCTCTAAGGTGCATGTGCAAGACAGAAAGACAGAAAGCAAGATATCCCCCCCCCCAGGAGAAATGGCCACGCCACATTACCTTCTCCTCTGTTCTTCTCCCCTTGGGATTTTGGGCATGGCATGCACATACTCCTGGCATGAGTGTCAAGTCGCTGGGTCCAGGACTCAAACTGCAGTTAGTGTGCGAGAGTCCATCAATGTAACCATTATGCCATCTGCTGGTCCCAGTAGACATCATTTTTCAAGGGTTACCATGAGAGATTTGCTTTGTCTTAGATTTCAAAATTTAATTCCCAGAACCAAAAAGTTTATTTAGAGAGATATTGCTATAGGGCGTGTATGCTCGCCAGAGAGATAAAGTGATTGAAAGCAAGAAATCACCACCTGGGTGGTGGCCACGCCACAGTCCCTTCTCCATTTTCCTCTCGGTATTTTGGGTATGCACACACACATGCCCAGTGTGAGTTTTAAGCCACCAGGTCCAGGACTCGAACTGCAGTTGACTACATGGGAGTCTAGTGACATAGCCATTATGCTGTATGCTGGTTCCATCAAAAAAGAATTTTATCTCTTGCCCTGACCTGTTGTTGATGATATCTTGGGTGTTTGTGTATGTGGTGGTTATTGTACAGGATTAAATGATTGCTATTCTGATGGAATCATAGGATATTATTATAATAAACAGTATTGAGAGGAATGAAAGAAGGAATTCCGGACATACAAAAAGAGAGAGGTCTCCTAAATTTATGTTTTTATTATCTGTATATTTATATACCATATCTATGCACAAATCCAGAATATTTACTTCTGTACCATTGCAACTATCTTACACAAAACTATAAATTTACTTTATCCCCAGTAGTGGACAACCCAGAGTCCTGTCCAACTACTATAGCACTTCTGTCTGGAAATTCGGGGAAGTA